CAACTGTCATATTATCCAACTTCCGCTATTATTCCATGCCAACTGTCATATTATCCAACTTCCGCTATTATTCCATGCCAACTATCATAGTATCCAACTTCCGCTATTATTCCATGCCAACTATCATATTATCCAACTTCCGCTATTATTCCATGCCAACTATCCAACTTCTGCTATTATTCCATGCCAACTATCATACTATCCAACTTCCGCTATTATTCCATGCCAACTATCATAGTATCCAACTTCCGCTATTATTCCATGCCAACTATCATACTATCCAACTTCCGCTATTATTCCATGCCAACTATCATATTATCCAACTTCCGCTATTATTCCATGCCAACTATCATACTATCCAACTTCCGCTATTATTCCATGCCAACTATCATTATTTCTAGCAGTGTAAAATGTCTTGTATGCATCCTTTATTAATTAAAACTCCACCAAAATTATGATTGATTTAATCTGAAAGATAGCCCTCGTGTAGCTTTGCGCGAAATTCAAAACAAACAAACAATTAAATTAATTATAACGAAAATAAAATATTTACAGTTTTTCACGACTTTTTACATAAATTAACTATGTTGAATAATATTATTATTATTCCCATGTAATTGCCGAAAACACTACTCGATATAGAAATTAATATTTTATTTTAATTCGATCGTGTGTCTGATTAATTTAAATGATCCACAAAACAAATTACCTGGTTTAAGTTAAGTCCCGGACTCACGACCACTGGTATGAGGGTAGGCATGACCTTTGAGGCTAGATGATTAACGGTCAATCCATACCGTTTGTCTCCGAGCATGTGCTTGTAAATTCCTTTGAAACACCAAGCACAAATCGTTAAGACTTGTTTAGCTGTCTTGTACTTGTATATAAATGTGTAATTATCGGTCAAACCTCACAATCTACGTCATTAAGTAGTATTTTTCTGTTTTATTTATTTTTTCTATTATTTTCATTTATCACCATGCCTAACATAAACTTATTTTGGAATACAATAAAATTAATAAACAATATTTCATTGGTTCTTCTTTTGCTTTTAACTATAAGACAAAATCCATCGTCAGTAGGTGTTAGAAGTTATTATTCAAACCCTAAATTCTTGACTTAACCAGACTCGGATTGATGGTAAATCTGGAGCGTATATCATTCGAAAAATCTTGCGTTTACTAAAAACACGATAGCTGTGAAATACCACCTCGGTTTTGTAAAGAATGCCAGTAATGTTCACACCGCGAAGGTAGTCAACATTTTTTTACTTTTTACTTTGACCAATATCTTCCATTATCTGAGCTGTTTCCTGTTTTTAAATCACTATGGAAACATCAGAAGACGATCCTGGTCTTCCTATTACTTTCAACTGTGAAATGAAAAAATGTTCCAAGAGCAATACATGTAGTTGATGTGGATGTGTCTACAATGGAATAAAAAGTCAAAGGAAAGTGAAAAAAACAAACAAACTAGAAGTGATACGAAAAAAAAAAGCTATATTTCTGTTTCTTCTTCTTTGACAGTAAAAGCTCTATTGTCTTTACTCTTAGAGAAGATTCGGACGTTAAAGAAACGCTCTTCTATTGTTTCCTTTGAAACATTTTATGAACTTCATCTATTGCTGTTCTTATACACATTCTTTTGGATATATCTTTTTAAATCCTGAAATATCTAAGTTCTTGGAAAGTTTTACACCGGAAATATTAATCGATCGTCTTCAAAATAGGTCCAATTTAGAAGCTGTATTAAAATCAATAAGCTTTTGTGCTAATTTTTTTAGACGCAATTGTAAACGATACAACAACCAAATGTGAAAGGTCAGTACCACCACATCTGATCATGTGGAAAATTTATCACCACATCTTAAGCTTGATTAAGTCGGAAGTTCAAGGTTTACATAAGCCACTGATGACTTTATTTAAACATCATAAGGTCAAAAGGACATTCTATTAAAGCATATGAAAACCACAGATTATTGTGTATGTTTGCACACAAACCGTCACCCTCACCATAACACTGAAATAATGTTTGTTTGTTTTTTATTGCCCCATTTGTGAATTTTCAGAGGCGTTATTTAATAACATTCAAACATTAGCGCTGAATGCGCGCGTTCACCTGTCTTGTTAGGACTAATAAAACATTACTTACTCACTACTGGCATCAGAATCGTTGGATCTTGAAGTCTGGCTTTGTTTAGCATTGGAAGTACCTCGTCTAAGATGTCCGTTTTCTCCAGCTTGTCTATGACTTTCTCAATGCAGATTAGAGCGTTGGCCTGAACCTTGAAACCGAAAAATAAACCAAATATTTTTTAGAGAAGTAAAAAAAAAGAAAGTGTTGTTGTCGGATGTCTCGGCGCAGTAGATAAAGAACCCTGGATTTTTAGTATTGAAAGTCCGAAATTTACCGCTGACCAACCGGGGGACAAGAAATGATTAGCCACAGGTGAGACAAAACACTAGAGGTAAACGACAACAAAAATTTTTTTAAACTCAGATACTATTAATGAAAACTGAGATTAAGGAAAAAATCTTTTTGAAGGATTATAAATTTTAATGATTAATCTAGTGTTAGCGAAACGTTTAGCATTACGTCATACACACACGCACAAAAAGAAAAAAATACAAGTTCTTCAAATACCTATAGAATGATAGATTTCTTTTTTTGTGAGTGTAAAATCCTTAAATGCACCATTTCGATTTTTGATACCTCACTACTGTAAAGGCTTGGTTTGATATTTCATTAATGGTAGTGTCCAGGGTCACTGATGAGGAGTGGAATTCTCCAAAACTAGTCTGGCTCGGAGACACGGCCCAAATGAAAGAATGGACCATTCCAAGTTTTTACTTTTTGTTAAACAAATGTTTAAACAACTCTATTCAATTTCAAATACATGTATAATCTGTTGTTAAATAATATATACAATAAACAAAGAAGACTGTTATAATCACTTCTAAACCAAGGTGGAACACGACTGCACTGGATATGCTCTAAATGTAACGTACCTTTTCGTACTCACTCAAAACATTTAAAAGACTCCTACGTAAAGTGCTTTCTAAGGTTGGTTCCATTTCCAATCTTCTTATATGAAATAATATTTGGTGTGTTTTTCCGTCTTAGTTTCTCATTCAAGTTTTAACACGAACATTAGTGTTATTATGACATCAGGCCTCTGAATCTTTCACTATATTCACGCTTCAGTGGAAGCTAATAAGTGCTTGTGTGTCACATGGTCATAAGGTGTACTAATGAAGAATAGTAAACCATATAAAGTACATAGATATACCCAATACCCTCCAATCATTATTATTCCAGAAATATTTAAACATATGTAATAAAATCGCCATCCATATAAACCTCGAACCATCTCGGAATAATAATTGATGGCATTCCTCCACAATATAATTCTTCGTATTGTTAGCCGACACTATTTGAAATGTTTCTTTTTTAATATTTTAGACTAAAAGAGTTGAAAAGGTATTTAAATATGTTCACATATTTTATTATTCATTAAACATCCTAGTAATTGTGGAGCTAAGTGCTAGTCAAACTCGTGCAATTTGGTGCATTAATTCCATACTACTACGTAGCACAATATTGTAACCTTGTCTTTGAACATCTTAATAAAGTCCATACCGTTTTTAAGCATCGTGGTAGAAGAATAACAACTTTAGGAACCGTTTTCTTATCTCCTTCAATGGTCGTCTTTAATAAGGGGCTGAAGAACCCACATCAGAGTTTTCCTTAAACAAAGTGAAGAGCCAACATCTGGGTCTTCTCCAAAACAGGCTGAAGACTGTGTAAGCTGAAGAACCAACATCTGAATCTTCCTCAAAACAAGCTGAAGACTGTGTAAGCTGAAGAACCAACATCTGAATCTTCCCCAAAACAGGCTGAAGACTGTGTAAGCTGAAGAACCAACATCTGAATCTTCCCCAAAACAGGCTGAAGACTGTGTAAGCTGAAGAACCAGCATCTGAATCTTCCTCAAAACAAGCTGAAGACTGTGTAAGCTGAAGAACCAACATCTGAATCTTCCTCAAAACAGGCTGAAAACTGTGTAAGCTGAAGAACCAGCATCTGGTTCTTCCCCAAAACAGGCTGAAGACTGTGTAAGCTGAA